CACTAGCTGTTGCTTGGAACCACCCAAGCTCAATTCCAACACCGTGAAAATCAAGTTGGGGGTTCCCATGACTTCCAATCCAATTGATAACAGGAACCAAAGCTGAGCGAATTGACCATTGCCTCACAGTCCTCAACTGGGCATTTAAACCAGCTACCAATCGTTTCCAGACAGTTGCAGGTACATGCTGAAATCAAAAAAGTCTTTCCTCATTAAAAGACAATTCATACTAATCATTATTCTGTGTTCAAGTAAATACTTAATTTTGGCATGCAGTCCTTCATAAAGAAAAAAAACATGAATCCTCCCCACCCACCAATTCACATTATATCGGGTAAAAACACTTGCAGAGTTACAGACACTCAATATAACAAGTTTCATGTTAGGCCAAGCTTTATTTTGTTCCAAATTAATCATTAGAGTTTGTATGTTGTTTCAGTTTGGTCATTCAGTTAAATCCAGCAGTTCTTCAAGCAGAACATGTTGATGCCAAATCAGAATGTCATCATCCACGTCAGTTGTTCCGTTACAAAAACTGAACAGAATTTACCCAAGTGACCTAAATAAAAATAAAGAAAATTTCAGGGATTGTTTTTTAACAAATTAAAGTTAGATGACTAACATGAAACTTTGCTATAAGTTGAGTGACTAAGTGCGCTATTAATATCTACAACGTTAAAGTTAGACTTGCAAATAACCTGGGCGAGGAGATTTGTCAATAATGCGTCGCTATGCAGATTATATGGTGACATATAACTTCCATCCCCGCCAAAAATAATTCGCATGGGAAACCTCTTCTGTATACTTGTTACCATGTCTAAGCGTTTCTCATCACCACCAAGGAAGAAATCAATATATGCAACCATCAAATCCGGTGTTGCCCCAACCTGCAATGACCTTTTATGTTATATAATAAATTGAAAACAAATATTTTGTGGAACATGATCTAGGTTCACTTGGTGTCATTGCAGGCTCCAGATGAAGTTTCTCTAAGGAATGTTCTTTTAACGCTGTCCCATATCACTTCCTTTTCCAAATATATTTATGAATATGCTTTTTTGAAATGAATGCAAACATTTCCCATTCCTTAGCGGGAAAGATATGTGGTCATGAATGAGAAATAGGGATTAAGTAGAACAAAATTGACTTGGAAGATCATCCCCTAGCCTTGTGTTTTCACATCGAGAATTATTTGCAAACGAAGAGATGTTAAAAGGGGCTTCTTACTTTCCAAACAGATCCTCCCACATCTATATAGTCAAAAGAATACATTAATAGAAAAACCAATAAATAATAGAATTTTGTTAAATTGTTTTAATTCTGTTAGCAGAACCAAAAATATCAAAGAATGTTGCATAAGTCAAATAATAAGTCCAGAAAAAATTGTGCATATTTCTCATCTGTCAAATTATACACACAAAAAAGGCACCTTCTAAGTCATCATTCTATTTTATTTTTGATTTTTATTTTTTGGCAAGGCCTAATTGCATGAAAAAATAAAAAAAGTTCAAAAAATCTGATAACAGAAACACAGAAATAATACAAGGATTGCATAACCTTCATTCCTTTGTATAGAGCACGTGATCGACACGAGCGAAGACAAGAATGGTCATATTCAGACTTGACAAACTCCTGAAGGCGATGAAGTTTATTTCTCCTACGCCACTGTTTCCAGGACCATGAAAAAGGATATGCAAGCACTGAAAGTATGCTATGCACTGACCCTTCCCACCATTCGTATGCAGCAACAGAGTTTATCTCGTCAATGAATCTGTTAAAAGCATCTTCATATCTGCAGTTCACATTACCATGAAACTTACTAAAGAATTTTGCAGAAAAGGGAATGAGATTCAACCCAAATAGATTGGTACGATATTAAAGATTTATATTAACGACTTAAACATGATATGGGCATCTCAAGTTCTCAACATAAACATGTATGTGAACTTGAAGAAATATGCAGACTCCAAAAACTGAAAGAAAACCGTATAAATAATTTTGCAACATGTGGATTAATTAGGAAAAAATTAGAATCATTTAATGGTACCAAGCGTCCGTAATATTGATATTTAGTAGTCCCGAAATCAAGCCAAGAAAAAATATCAACAGATTTATAACTAGCTGTGTAATGCCTCTGTTTGGGTTTCATTTTATTTTTGCTAAAATTCTACTTTTCGAGAGATGAGTGCTCGATAAGTTAGCAGTTCTTCTGGGTCCTAGAAATGTGTAATTAAAATCAATGATTGAATTTGAAAAGTAATATTTTAGTAGAAGAAAATGAAATTCAAATGGAGCTAATATAGGAATTTCACCTTACACAGCTCATTTGAACCGAACTTCAAAAAAAATTCCCAATCAATTGTAAATTCTTACACTATCTCAAATATCGCATGGGGAGGTGAGTAAGGAAGATGCCAGGGTTCTCTGAATGTATTGGGACCCATAAAGTACATCCTGTGAACGTGATTTTGAGTTTCTTCTGATCTGGCACCCGGAACCTGGAGATAAAGCGGGTGGGACCAATCCAGTGTTAATATATACAGTATTTTTTACCATGCCACAGTTTTCAATGAGCGAGCTAACTTGAGAAGACTCTAACCTCCGATAAGGAAAGCAGAGATGGAAAACTGTGATTATCATGATGATCAGCTGAATCTTCTCTACGATAAGAGTGTCCCGAACCAATCAATTTGATTCTCAGAGTATTTAGTACCAGAGCTAGGAGCACAACAACGCCCAACAATAAAAATGCGAAAAACCAGGGCCCTCCAAAAGTATATATAAGCTCCTCAAAAGGTGTATAGCACTTCGGCATTCTGTATTTGTCAGATATACATTTATAGGGACACGATGAGTGGGTGACTCCACCTGCAGTGATTGAGTCCCATGGGTGAAATCATAGTAGAATGACTAATTCTTTATCGAAAAGAGAATTTCAAAATGCTAATGGAAACATTTAATCAGATCAATTACTATTACCTCGTACATATATAAAATTAGCACGACTAGGAAGGCGATCAAGGGAACAAGCTGTGCAAAGACTTGGATCAGATCCTTCAATATCTTTGTAGGTTCCAACAGGGCATTCCTGTAATGTAGTCCATGGACATAAAATTAGAATCCAGTGTAAAAAAATCAAAACATTGTCAACTGTAAATAGTACAAATTACATGCAATTATCAGCCAATGTCATATGTACACAGTTAAAGTTACACTTCAAGCACAGGCATTGAACAAATTTGTTCTTCATTTTATACGACAATGTGCTGACAATTTGACATGTATATGGCTACACCTATACAAGCTCATTAAATACTTTTGGTTAAGCATGACATTCCGTAAGTGTTGCATGCATGCATGAAGTTCTAAAGGCAGAAGAAAAAGAAATGTAGCAGCCAATTTAAGATGAATAAATAAATAGGGATCCACCTCATCCCTTGATATGGAACAGTGTCCCAGATTTAGATTAAACTGTGTACTTAGATTACCTCCCAGTCAAGGTTTCACCGTTCAGTAGCGATTCATGCATGGAAATGCTTTGATCGTTTGTAAGTGAAGGTTAGCTTGTTTAGTTAATTTGAAATCGAAGGAAAAGTGAAAATGGCAAAACAGAGAATTCCTATTAGGAAAATCTAAAGAACTAGAAATGCAACAAGACATGGTCATGTTCATGCTGATCATCTTAAGGCTTTTCTTATTGAATAAAGCGTAGGCAAGAAGACCCAAAAAAATGTCCTATATATCCAGAAATGTTTTGCTTTTCTTTTATTTGTTTTCTTGATTTCCATTTAGGACCTGAAGCACAAATTACTGGAAGGTACACAAAGATAGGAAGAATACAAACATACCGTACAGAATGTACCATACAGTCCTTTGGGGCACTTCTTTCCACTAATTGTCCCCTTCTCTCCATGAAGACCATCTCCACTCCCGGCACCTCCACTGTTAGACATGGAAAGCACGTAAGATGCTTCTATATGAAATTGTCTTACGCTAAATGCTTCAATGTTTTCTTATATTGTTTCAAAAGTTCGTAAATTAGAATACAAGATTCACATTCCGGATACTTATTCTAGGGGGAAAGTTTAAAGATCAGAGCATATAATCAAGATCAATGTAAAACAGAGTAAGTAATATCAAAGCAGGCATACCTGCTGTTCATCATACCATCTACGAATGCAAGAGGTACATATTCATCTCCAATAGCTATCTTAGACCAATGAAAATGAATTCTTCCGCCACCGCCGCCACCGCCGCCTAGTGGACCGCCATAACCTCCAGCAACAGATAAAGAGGAGTTCTCTGCAAGCTCCAGTCCTTGAAGAAAAAGAAGAAGAGTGCCACCAGAACCTCCACCAAGTCCACCTATGAGTGTACCATTACTGTTCCGGGTTGGCTTATGACAACTTTGGCCATCAACACTGATAGACCCATAGATATCAAGCCTTAGCAGTGGCCACTGTCTGGATCCCATCACTAGCATACATCGCACATGAAACATCAAATAATGGTTATTCTTCAACTCCACAGTCAACTATTAAATACAAAAAAGAGAAACAAGTATAACCAGTAAACAGAAGGGTTCATAAAACGAGAAATTTCATGAATTCTTTTAAGATTGATATGTACGATATCATTTGAAAATGATGTATTTGAACATTATAGTTTAAAAAGGGGTAACAACGAGATTTTCTACACTCGTGTTCATACTATGCATACTTTTTTACTTATTGAGAATTAGTTCACATAGTTATTGAATTTTATTATATGTGAGAAATGGCAAGCCTAGGGCTCCATAAATTGCATAGCTAGTTGTTGGAGCTCCAATAGGATTGCCATGGTTGTGCATGGAAAATGAACAATGATCTGTCAGGTCATTGTTGTGGGATGTATTAGATATTATAGATTTTGAGTTGTATTATGCAATTTCATAAATTGGTTGTAATTTTAATACCATTGCATGATTATACTTATTATCAAAGGTGACAGCAGGTTAAGTTATTGACATCCCAAACAAAAATAGATAATATAACCAAGAGATCAATGAAGCAAAAGAAGCCAAAATTCAACCAATTTCATATCACCTTTCAATTATAATTTATACGTTGGTAGACGAAGAACCTTGGTTTTCTAATTCCTACTAGTATAGTAAGGGAAAACTTTTAGCTCCTGTTTGGGCTCCAATTTTCCAAAAATACATTTTTACAAAACTCATTTTCAACCACACATTATCACATAAAATAATGTTATACGTACTCCCAAAACTTTTCTTTATTTTTTAACCACAAATTTTCCAAAAAAATAACTATTTCAAAACACATTTTTCCCAAAAATCGAATTTTAATGGAGCCCAAAGGGGGGCTTACTAAGGACAATCAAGTTTTATCCATCATGGAGAAACCCCACTTAAAAGGAACAGTCAGATAAAAAGGAACAGCTTTAAAAAGGAACACCTTAAACTTCTTAAATGAAACGAAGCATAAGAACGCGTCCCTCAACTCAAGACTAAGTTGCTTTTTCCTTCAAAATTCCATGTCAAAACACCTTTCCTTCTATACCAAAACCAATTTGCATTTCAAGTTATAAACATTTGCATTTTACAGAACATCCTGAGCCAAATATGCTAACTATAATATTCAGCTCCATAACCCCTTGCAACTTCAGTATAAAACAAATTATCAATACATTTTACAGAAAACCACGGGGTACAAGAGCATTGAAAGTTATGGACATAGATTAACTTGAATAAATTTTGATAATGAACACCAAAAGAACAGGCATCAAAAGATATGGAGATAGGCAATTGATGCTGAATTACTTTTTGCAAACACTAAAAAGTGTGAGTTAGCTTAAATGCTAACCTATCATTCCACCACCAGCCACATATCCATACGACTCATTTGGTCCTGCAGTTCCACTACCTAACTCGCAAGGAAGATCAGCACTTCCATAACTGGGACCGCCTTCACTCAGCTTCCCACTAAAAAATCCAGACCCCCCTCTTCCTCCATGTCCAGCACCAGCACCAGCTCCATTTGAGTAATTTCCCCTTCCAATACCATTCCTGCAACCTGGAAAGTATTCATTATTTTCTGAGAAACTTCCAAAGCATTTCTCATACACAACCAAATGAAGCATTTAGGCTACTAAAATCCTGTCTAATTGTTTTCTAAATCTCAAAGTTCAGAATGGAAGAGAGGAATCAAAGTAACAAAAAAGAAAGAGAGACTAGAATTAAAATCAGAACACTCAGTATGACCAGAGGTGCTAAAGATAAGTATACCTAATTCTGATGCAGTTATCATGCCATCAGAATCCACAATAACAGTCCTTGCCCTGTGGATATGAACAATACTTCCCCTCATAACTCCATTCACCAAAATATCCTCAACACGACAAACCTATCGAACAAATAGAAGTCTCATGATGAGTGTATAATATACACCAACCAGAAAAAGCAATTATAATGTCATAGACTTCAAAAAAGAAGGCAATAAATATGAAAACCCATTCATTTTCTTGGCCATTTTCGTGAAGCTTAAAAGATTTGTTTATCAAAGCATTAAAAATTGCACGATGGCATCTTTAGAAACAGAAGGAACATAAAATGCTCGTGACTAACTCCATATGAACCAACACTTGATGATTAAGACAAAGAACACAGGACAGATTAAATCCTCTCATGAATTTCACTCCATATGATAACTTCACCTTAATGACAGAGGTTCTCAATCGTCGCTATTGTGGTATAGGTGTCATAGACTGTCAATCTTGTGGCTGAATAATCTTCCCTTAGGACATCATTGAATTATATAGTTACAATATATAATCTAAATACGCTAAAATCAATTATCTATATATGGTACAATTATAATTGAAATATACACGATCTTCGCCAATCTCCATAATCTTATTTAATCTCATTGACATAGACTTCCTTTCACACAGCAGAAATCCTATCGACTTGGAAGATAGAAATACTTGATTATTTGATAAGTTGATCCATATATCCTATGCATAGACCATAAAGGAAATTAAACTCCACTTGGAAAGTTATTTTGTACACGCCATACGGCATAGTCTTAAACATCATAATCTATTAAGGATAAACGCAAAAATACATAAGGATAAACGTAAAGATGTCAATCTGAGTTTTTAGAGCACCAGATACAATAGCTTTACTAACCTGCAATGAAAAGGACAGTGTGTAATTAACATGGCAATCATCTGGTGGAGTAATCAAATCCACTGGGCATGTTGGACTCTCACAAAGAGATTTAGTTATCCTATTCGAGATAATGAAAAGGTGATTAAATTTGCGAAATTGAAAGAGTACTCAAATGAATAGAATTAAGCAGCTAATTCTAAACGATGTTCTTACGAGCTTCTGCTGACTTCATCATCCAAGGGAGCTTGAAGTAAAGACCCTGGGCCAACCTAATAAATGAAAATTTTTCTGAAGAACTAGTTGATGGAATGATATCAAAGAGGTCCCATGAAAATCGCAAGAATGAGAAAGTTATATACAGTGAAAAACATAAACTAATTCAGACAAAATGGATGGAGAATGTTGATAAACTAACTCAAGACAAAATATACCTACTTATGATGATATTACAGCAAAAGGACAAAGGATCCTATTCTACAGAAGGCTTAGACCATCTTCTGCATCACCAAAAGTAGCCTCTAATTCTAGATGCGGATATATTGTGCAAAAATTATTCACTTTTCCAGGTACCTTGTGTTACCATATATGGATGGATTTGTATGTTACCTTGTATCGTTGTATTTATATTTGGGAATTAGGTTTATTTACTTGCCTTGTATATTCATATGTGTACAATATATATACACAATAAACAAAGCAATGAGAACAACGATTTTTACAGAAATTCTCTCAATTGTTCAGCCCTCTTTTGTCATGGTATCAGAGCGAGGGTTCTAATTCTTACCGGCTGTGAGTTTGTTTTCGATCTGACCTTCCTGTTTCGGGGTCTTCTCTTCGACGCCGTTCCAGTTCCGATCTCCTTCTACGGATTTTTTATTCTGGCGAGTACTCTCTTTCTAAGTTCTCGCTGGGTTATGCCTTCGATCAGCTGTCGGGCTTCCCCTAGTTCTTCGTGACTGTGCCGGATCTTCTGGTTCTTCGCGACTTCACCGGCTTCTTGTTTTTCAATTGGGCCTCCTCGTGGTTATTTATTTGCTGCCTAGTAACTTGTTTGTAGTTTTTGTTTCGGTCCTACGTGATTTGTGGTGTGAATTATATATTGGGTTGAATATTTTATTTCCTCAGTCATGTCTTTAGAAAAGTTGGATTCGTTTCTTATTCGTTTTAATGGCAAAAATTACTCGGCTTGGGAGTTCCAATTCCAATTATTTGTCAAAGGAAAAGAGTTATGGGGTCATCTCGATGGCAGTGACCCCGCTCCTACTGATACAGATGCTTTGTCGAAGTGGGAAATCAAGGATGCTCGAGTGATGACTTGGTTTCTTAGTTCAGTCGAGCCTCACCTTATTCTCAATTTGAGGCCTTACAAAATTGCTGCTGATATGTAGCACTATCTTAGTAAAGTTTACAAACAGGACAACATTGCCCGATGGTTTCACTTGGAGTATGAGATGGCTAATCTTTCACAGGGAAGTCTTTCGATTGAAGAATACTTCTCTGGTTTCCAAAACCTTTGGGCTGAATATGCAGACATAGTTTATGCTAATGTTCCCACTGCAGCTTTATCTGTTGTTCAAACAGTGCATGAGACAAGCAAAAGGGATCAATTTCTGATGAAGCTTCGCCCGGAATTTGAGTCTACCCAATCTAATCTGATGAATCGTCTTCATGTACCATCTTTGGATACTTGTTTGAGTGAACTTCTTCGTGAGGAGCAACGAATCATCACTCAGGCTGCTATGGAACATAGGGATTCCATTAGTGCTCCTATGACTATGGCTTATGCAGCACACGCGAGGAACAAAGGTCGGGACATGCGCGATATCCAGTGCTATAACTGTAAAGCTTTTGGTCACATTTCTCAGGATTGTCCTAAGAAATACTGTACTTATTGCAAGAAACAAGGTCATCACATCTCCGTTTGTCCTATTCGGCCAGAAAAGAAGTATCCTACTGCCTATCATACCTCTACTGGAGTCTCTAGTTCTGTGAATTTGCCTCCGGTGTTACTCCTGCTTCTGTGCCCGCCCTCACCCTTGAAATGGTACAACAAATGATCAATTCTGCTTTCTCTGCTTTTGGACTCTCAGGTACTCCTACCACCTCTTCTACGCCATGGTTCTTTGACTCTGGCGCCTCTAATCATATGACCAACTCAGTTATTCATCTTTCGTGTGTCAGAAAATATGATGGTAATCAAAACATTCACACCGCTAGTGGGAGTTCTCTGCCTATTAGCGTTGTTGGTGATCTTTCATCTTTCTTAACAGATGTTTTTGTGTCTCCTCACCTCTCTACAAATTTAATTCCGGTTGGTCAATTAGTTGATAGTAATTATGATGTTCATTTCTCTCGTTCTGGTTGTATTGTGCAGGATTCAGTGTCCGAGAAGATGATCGTGAAGGGGCCTAAAGTAGGACGACTCTTTCCCTTGCATATCTCTTCTTTTCCTCATTCTCCTTTACTTTCCTTCGCGTGTAATGTTATTCGTATTGATCATAAGTTGTGGCATAAACGTTTAGGCCACCCAAACTCAGATGTACTTCGTACTTTATTTCATTCTAATCTATTGGGTTATAAAGCTTGTTCTTCTTCTCTTTCTTTTGATTGTGCTGCATGCAAACTTGATAAAAGTAAAACTCTCCATTTTCCCTCTCATGGCTCTTGGGCCTCACAGTGTTTCGATATTATACACAGTGATGTTTGGGGAATTTCACCTGTTATATCTCACGCACGTTATAAGTACTTTGTTACCTTCATCGATGATTACAGTCGTTTTACGCGAGTTTATTTTTTACGAGCCAAAACAGAAGTCTTTTCAGTCTTTCAGCGTTTCCTTGCTTTCAGCATTTCCTTGCTCTCATTGAGACTCAATTTTCTAGTTGCATCAAAATCTTGCGCTCTGACTCTGGGGGAAATATGTCCACTGAATTTCAGAACTTTCTCCAAACTAAGGGTATCATTTCCCAGCGTTCTTGTCCTTCGACGCCGCAGCAAAACGATGTTGCTGAAAGAAAGAATCGTCACCTTCTCGATATGGTGAGAACTCTTTTACTTGACTCATCTATACCTTCTCGATTTTGGTGTGAAGCACTTTCCACTTCGGTTCATTTAATTAATCGTTTACCATCTCCCACTTTAAATCACGCTTCTCCCTTTTTTTGGTTGTTTGGACATTCACCGTCATACTCCGATCTGCGTACATTTGGTTGTGTTTGTTTCGTGCATCTCCCTGCTCATGAGCGCCATAAGCTTTCCGCTCAATCTGTTAAGTGTGCTTTCCTTGGTTATGCCGTCTCTCAAAAGGGCTATGTTTGTTATGATCCTCTTGCTTAACGCCTCCGTATCTCTAGGAATGTGGTTTTCCTTGAAAACCAGTATTTTTTCCTGTCTCATATTGCACTGTCATCTACATCTTTATCTATCCTGCCTCACTTCTCTAATGCCCCTACTACTATGGCACGTTTTAAACTTGGTCTTGTCTATGAACGTCGTAATCGTGAGTATGGTGACGCTCCTTCTGTGCCCCCTCCTGATCTCGACCCAGCAGCTAATCCTACTACGATTCCCACGTCTCTTCGTTGGTCTACCCGTTTTTCTCGACCTCCTGATCGGTATGGTTTCTCATCTCCTATCTCTTGTAGCTACTTTATCTGCTATTTCCATTCCTTCTTCTTATAAACAGGCCATAGGACATGAGTGTTGGCGAAATGCAGTAAAAGCAGAACTTCAAGCACTTGAGGAGAATCACACTTGGGACGTTGTGCCTTGTCCTCCTACAGTAAAACCAATTGGGAGTAAATGGGTTTTCTCTGTGAAACTTGGTTCTGACGGCTCTTTGGATCGGTACAAAGCTCGTCTTGTAGCTCTGGGTAATACACAGGAGTATGGGGTTGACTATGAGGAGACATTTGCTCCTGCCGCTAAGATGACCACATTACAGACGGTCTTAGCTCTCGCTGCCTCCCAATCTCAGAGACTCTATCAGTTAGATGTAAAGAACGCTTTTCTTCATGGCGATCTTCACGAAGTCATTTATATGAAGCTTCCATCTGGTATGACTGCTTCTTCTCATGACGTCTGTCGACTACGACGCTCTCTCTATGGGCTCAAGCAAGCTCCTCGAGCTTGGTTTGAGAAGTGTCGTAGCATGCTCATTACCTTTGATTTTACACAGAGTCGGTATGATCCTTCTCTCTTCCTCCATAAATCTGCCTTGGGTATTGTCCTTCTGTTGGTTTACGTGGATGACATTATCATTACTGGCACGGACTATAGTTTCATTTCTAAGCTTAAACAGTTATTGCATGCCACTTTTCACATGAAAGATCTCGGCCAGCTCACATACTTCTTGGGCCTCGAAGTTCATCATCAGGATCAAGGTATTTTCTTAAACCAGCATAAATATGTTCAAGATCTTATTACATTGGCTGGTTTGGAGGATTCTTCTCCTGTCGATACCCCTATGGAAGTCAATGTAAAGTACAGGAAAGATTAAGGGGATCTTCTAGAAGACCCTACTCTATATCGTCGTCCGATTGGTAGTCTTATCTATTTGACCACCACTCGTCCAGATATCTCTTATGCCGTCCATCAGGTCAGCCAGTTTATGTCTTCCCTCGGCATCTTCATCTTGTGGGCTGTTCACTGTATTGTTCACTATCTACGTGGATCACCTACTCATGGGTTATTCTTTCCTAAAGGGTCTTCTCTTAAGCTCTTAGCCTACAGTGATGCTGATTGGGCTGGTTGTCCAGATACACGTCGTTCTACTACGGGTTGGTGTATGTTTTTGGGTGATGCATTGATCTCTTAGAAATGTAAAAAACAAGATCGTGTTTCTAAATCATCTCCTGAGGCTGAGTATCGTGCCATGTCTACTGCTTGCTCTAAGATTATTTGGTTACGTGGTCTTCTGAAGGAGCTTGGATTTCCTTAAACTCTTCCTACTCCTCTTCATGCGGATAACACTAGTGCTATTCAGATTGCGGGCAACCCCGTTTTTCATGAACGCACCAAACACATTGAAACCAAACACATTGAGGTTGATTGTCACTTTATTCGTGACACTTTGATAGATCAAGTGATATCCCTTCCCTACATTTCTTCTGATCTTCAGGTGGCCGATATTTTCACGAAAGCTATGACTCGATTACGGCATCAATTCCTTGTTGGCAAATTGCTGCTTGTTGATCTCTCCGCATCAATTTGAGGGGGGATGTTACCATATATGGATGGATTTGTATGTTACCTTATATCGTTGTATTTATATTTGGGAATTAGGTTTATTTACTTGCCTTGTATATTCATATTTGTACAATATATATATACACAATAAACAAAGCAATGAGAACAACGATTTTTACAGAAATTCTCTCAATTGTTCAGCCCTCTTTTGTCACCTTGCTTAGACCAATTTTCAGCATCATAAAAGTAGCATCTTATTCTACTTGTGAGAAATGTGTAAGTTCAGTTCCTTTCCCAGGTAACTAAACTACTCAAAAGTCAAATGTTAGTTGTAGTTTCAGACAGGACCATGATATTTAATTTGTCCTTTTAACCTTTTTAAGTTGGAAAGACAGGATCACTTTTTAACCAAGATCTTACGGTAATGTTATAAAATAGTGACAAGGAAAGTCTCTGGCCTTTGATTGCATCACCCTGACCGGTCAACTGTAAAAGGCCTTGTCCATATAGAGCCAGATTTGCATTTGAACTGATGACAGAGTTGTCCTGCCAGAGAAAGGAGGGGTGTTGAGATTAGAGCCTCATAATCCAGAAGCACCTGAAACAGACAGAATTTCTATTGTATAAAACAATTGTTTGATTATTACCTTAAGAACAACAAGATTCCTGACTTCAAGAACAGAGGTAGCAACAATGGTATTTTCGCCACCATCAACTTGGATTTGGGAGTTTAACATGAGTAACATTTTGACAGCTACTCTAAAAGCACCATAAACCTTCATCATCACAAAAGACTACTTGAGACTATGAATGGAGTAGAGACACAGATTCTAAAATTATGCAGATGATATATGTTGATATTCAATCATAAGGTCAATAAGGGGACAAAAAGAAAATGGTCATTTAAAGGCATAATTCCAAGGCAATGCGATAGTTGTAACAGTGATAGTAATTTTTTAGAAGTGTTAGCGGCATCACTTTCCAAATACCCGACTTTGGTTAATACAAAGATATAAATAGACCAAAAAGACACAAGTTAACCGCAGTTTATGCTCCAACCATGAGAATTTTCACTAAAATGTCCCTTCAATTAGATATGCCAAGCCACATCCTCATTTACTGTAACAATAATTGTAAAGTGTGCTTGTCTGTAAAATTACATAAATATTTCTAGTAAAATATCTATGAAATATGCAATGTCAAATAATACTCTTAGAATTCGAGCATGGACAATAAATATCAAATTGATGCAAAGGAACATCAGAAAGGACAATTTTTTAAAACAGCAAGTCGAATGACAGAGAAATTCAAGTGAGTTTTAAGAAAGAAGGTGAAATAAAACTAATGTTATACCTGTATTGTGGAATCACTCATTAGAAGTTCCTCTGCGACAAGTTCAAACTCTGATTCTGGGAACTGGGACAATCCGAAAACAATACTGCTTCGACAATACAAACTTATCTGGCCTCTCACCTTTATAACAGAAAAGTTTCATGATAATTAAAAGACCATACATGGCAAAGGACTTACAAATTCATAAGTCAAAAGTCATAATTTAGGAACAATGTTAATGATTTAAGTAGAGAATTTTAAATTTTTATGGTAGAAAACTGAAGACTGTAAGCCGACTTTATTGAAGTAACAGCAATGCTCTGCCAACATCCATCACTTATTATCCATATCATAATTACACACTCAGCATGTATCATCAGCTATCATCTTACTTACTCAGATGAACAGGTTTCGTAGGGATGTTCCTTTTCATCTCTTTTCAAAGCTTTTCCATGGCATTATATATCAAACTTTCTTCCTGTGGACTGATGAACACTCACTTAGTACCTAAATGGATGAGTTTGCTTGATTATTGGAGTTGCTTCCTAGTTTTGTACTCTAATTTACGCCTAACAGAATATGGTAGGAAGATTGTTCTGGTAATTGCAATCAGAAGTACTTTATGATACTGATTTCTCAAGTAATTTTACAATGGCATAAGCTGAGTACCAAAGCTATTGTTTAGAAAATAATAGTTTGTTAACAGCAGGGAGGGAAACCAGTTTGTTTCAGTTTGAAACTGGCACAGAGCATCTTGTTCGGTCCCGGAATAGGCCTGATCTCAGCTAAAATCAGCTATGGAAGGTTGTTTCTGGAACAGAGAAACGTGACAGTACACAGGGCCCACATTAGTTAAGAAACCAGACATGTGAACAAGTAAATTCCCCTAATCTTTTTGTTGTTTCTTTTAATTTCTCCATTCTCCATTTTCTTCTGCAAGATTTTGCAGTTGCTAGTCCTCCTGCTCTCCACTCTCTTTATACTTTTCTGTTCTTTGCTTTTATTTTTCTCCCTCACTTTTCCCATTTGCTCTATCTATTCTTCTCCTTGACAGGTTCTCTAATCTTGGTCTATTTCAGTTTGAAGAATTGATGGTTGTTAAGCTGATGCTGATGGTGTGTTTATACATAGGTTTATTAGAGTCTTGGTGGTGGGGATGGATTGGTATATGAGGTCCAAGTGAGACAGGTACATTTCACATTATGGCCGAAGAGCATGTAATGCAGGTCCTCCTAGTAGAATATCTTAGCATGACTTGAGTGCCCCTTCAAGGTATCAAATACTTTCAAGGTACAGGCTGAAAACATGTACAGGATATAAACCTTTTATTGGCAAGGAGTGGAATTTGGAAGGGTCTCCTAACTTCAGATGAACAAAATGAAATAATATTTGCTAATAAAAATAGCAATAAAGAAGATTCTGGAAAAAAGGACAATGATTTGGAACAAAGCAAAAAGGAAATATAAGGCACATCCCATTTGGTTTGATATGAATTCATTCGAGAATTCCTTACTGTATTAAAAGCTTAAAATAGTGTTGCATTTCTAGGATCCCATTATTCATTAACGATTCCTACTATCATATTAAATTAGTAAAGCTTTTTCCTCCTGTAGTATATTTTATTATTTATTGACATTGTATTGCAACTCTTTTAAGTCTCCAAAAAGAAACAACTTACTCTTAGCAACCAAAGCGAGAGAGAGAGAGAGAGATTATCGACATGTTACGGAAAGGGATTATTAGTTAAATACAAAAAGGTCCTACATGTTCCTGGAAAGGAATATTAGTTAATTACAACTAAATGGTGTTTAAAATGGATAATTACTTGGCCCCTATTTGGTGGAAATTATAATCCAAATTTTAATCCAAGTCAAAGGCAACAATTAATTTTAACCACACACTTCATGGGACCCACAACTTTTCAACAACACATTTCATCAGTTTTTACCAAAATATACTAAAAATTTTATTTTAATCCCCCACCAAACAGGGGCTTAATCTGGTGATTTACCGTCATCATATATTTATGTATGCAAGAATGAAGTGATATGATCCAAATGTACCATATAAGAGACCAATGCCAAATGTGATATGATCCAAATGTATCATATAAGAGACCAATGCCAAATTCTTCAGTAGAGAGTATCTAATTTTCTTGTACACACACACAATCTCCAAACATCCAAATATATCAAAAAAGGGTATGATTGAAGACCTGAACTCTAGTCCAAAGCAGAGGCACTAGAACTATAGCGTTGTTCTCCACATAGACATTTGTCCACAGCGGACTAGTAGAGAAATACAGCAGAGGAGTTTCTGTTTCTGTTGTTATATTGTCATTGCCAACTCGTAAACTCAGTACATATGCATCGAAGTAAGTACCGGCCGCTCCAGCATTCCAGGAACAGCCAATACTCCACCCACCTGCCACAGTAAATACAGATCATGTAGCTCAATACAAATGTATCCGGGGAATTGAATCTGCCAGAAACCTATAAAAAGCTAAGTAATTCTTTTGGAAAATTTGTTTATCCACTGTTACATATTTCCAGAAACTGGGGTTTTATATAAAAATCTGTCCTAAACTTCTCATGAACATTAGATTCAGATAAACAATACAATGCATGCATATCTATGTTAATTGTAATGTCTCAAACAACATATAAATTTGGTGTGCTCTTTTTGTGTCCTGGTTTATAACATTTCAGAGCAGAAAAACGCTATCTGAAAGAAAGAAAGAAGAGAACCAAAGGTTTGAACAATTTTCAGTATGGTCCACATGCAATATAAATGGTGTTAGTGAACAAGCAAACCTAATCTTCAACTTATTTACAGTCGCTTCTCTCAAACTCATAGAAAAAGTAACTTGTCTTCCTGCTTCTTAGTATCAGGCTTCCTGTTTGTATTCATACAACAGCATACAGAAGCTGCGAACTTCTTTGTCGATAATAACATTCAGAAATCAATAGACCTAATTCTATCCAACACATCTCCACCAAGGATGACTGCACCAGATATCTCTATTTTGAAGGGATAAAGAATTACACACGTACACACACATATATATGAGCTCCAAACAAATTACAATTGAGAAAAAAACATGAAAATTGAAGGCTATTGATGCATAGTGATTTAAGATGTAATTTGCAATTTTCCAGTTCAAGGGATCCCTCAATTAAGTTTTCCACATTGACACACCATTTGATAAGTTGATTACCAATCCTCAATCTGATAGTCCAGAGTTAATAGATATGAAGAGGTCCATCTAAGAAAAGACAATAACTAGATTTGGTCCAAAGGAGCATTAGACACGTACATGGATAGCATTTTTAAAAAATAAATACACACCACACCAGTGATGCCGAATGAAAAATTATACGGCTTAAAAGATTGTCCAACCATTTTTTGTGGTTGACATAATTGAAAAACTTAAGCACAGAAATACAGTTCATACAAGGAATTAAATGAGTAGCATACTTGATCATTCTCATTTTTCCCCTCTGAACCTAAATGTTTATCATATTATAGTTCATTTAGTTTTCACGACTACCTTTTGATTCTAATAGTGTCTTTGGGGGTGTCTCAGAGTGTCGTTAGCGTGTTCCTAAAGGTGCCCTAGTGCTCCTCCACATGTCTGAAACTGGAAAAAGAAAAGAAATATATACAAGTCTATCCCCACATGACTCAACAAGGTGTTCTAACTTCCAAGGATTCATCAAAAGTAGGCGCAAGTTTGGTGAGGGAGAGGAATTATTATACAAAGTCCTTGGTCCACAGTAGAACTCAGAGAACAGGTGCAGATTTTTCAATGGAAAAATAATGATCGAGGTTCAGTTGCGAGGGGATATAAGAAAGAACATGGCTTTGGTTCCATACAAAAAACCACAGCTCGTTTTCTTGGTCTTAGAAAAGGAATTGTTAACAATCTGGGGGCATATATAGAAGATGAGAAGTTGGGAGAACTGAGAGTATTTTCACTTCGACAGAACTGAGGAGTAAAGCACATGACTATTAATTCTGTATGAAGATTTGATACGAGAGAGAGAAGCACAACAGTATGAAAGGATCTGTATCAAACAGAAATCAATTTAGGGGACTGGAATGCTTCATTCATTATGGGAGAATGAGCAAGATGGAGAAGAAAAAGTCTCAAGTAAGAAACAAAAAAAGTATCCACAAATTAGAATAATAAAACGATAGAATGCTACATGTTTTCCAATTTTAGGGGTTTATTAGTGTTAAATTGTCATTCGTCAAAGATTGTAATGGAGATGTCGCCAACTTATTTTGATTTGATGGTTTTGGGTCTTGAGAATGGCTCGGCTTAAAAATTTCTTTGGATAGCCTTTGTAGGTGGATTGAGCGTTTAATAAGAACTTTTATGTGTCTTGCCTCTGTTTGGGATTCACTCTTTTTTCCCCTAAAAGTTCATTTTCAAAGTCAAATATGGATTTTAACCACACATTTTGTAAGACCCAGAAGTACTATTGTACTACCCACTTATTCACTGCTTATTTCTATCAACTTATAATTTTAGCAAGAAAAATGAATCCCAAACAGAGGCCTTGTTTCAGAATGTTGTTCTCCACATAAAGATGTCTCCTTGATAAAATAGATATAACTACGTATACCACAAGAGGACTTTGTCAAAACAGTATATGAACCAGTTTAAAGCCACCTATCTCTAGTTAGACAGTAACACAAGTGGGCCCCATAGGTAAGTTAGATAAGGTACCAGCCCAATAAAAAAATTAAATGATTTTCAAGCATACAGGTAAACGTAAATTAGAGATACTATACCAGGAATGAGAAAGAACAAGAGATAGAATCAATTTACACGTTGTTAGGTTTTTGAAGATTATTTCCCGCAGATATGAAAGTTAAAGCTACAACTTAGAACATAGAAGCTATGATTCTTACAGAAGAATGACATTTAGCAGTTGACTATGCTATGGGGTTATTAACTAGGAATTGTCAGGAACAGGTTATAAGTACAAACCATGCACGATGACTTTCAAGTCTTCTTGCTTGCTGTAACAGTTCAAAGAGACCCTTCCGCCTCCACCTCCTCCCCATCCCCTCCCACCAGCTGCACTTATGATACCAAACCCCTTCCTGTGCAGTCAAATCACATCGCTGAGAGTTAGATTGTACTTAATAAACTACTGCAACATTCCAATGAAACTACGGTGTAGAAGAATGGAATACTAGAAAGATGTATCTAGCTTAGCAAGACACGAGAAAGTTATAAGACTATAAACTAATTCAGCAGTCAGCTCTATTTACAAGGACATAAGCTTCTTGGTCAAGTATTAACACACAGAAAATAAGGTAAACAAAACGATTCCATTGAATGCCTATTTGAACTCCTACAGTCATGCAAAAGAATACCTCTGAAACAAAATAGAAATGACAGCAAAGAAAGATGTTGGGTGTTGAAGACAAAATTTTAATTAATTAAGAGTTCCCTCTCTAATGGTTTAATATTTTAGATGAGGTGGTTTAACATTGTCACTAACAATCAACGTAGCAAATAGTTGGCTCCCTCAAATAAATGTACTTCAAATTTTTATTATTGTTTCTCCAAGCACCAAAAAGAACCCATATAGGATAAAATTTTGGAGAAAACTTAATTCACACTAGTCCAAAGGATAATCAGGTGAAAAAACCTTATCTTCTTAGAAAAAGGTAGGAATAAAGGTAAGAAAATAAACACAAAACTCCTCTCAACAAAAACACTAGGATACTAACTCTGCAAAATTTATCAAATGATCATTCAATAAAATCACAATAAATCTGAAAAAGAAAAGAGCCATAGGAAATCCAGGTGTCTTTCTCTCAGCCATCAAATTTCTATCATCCCACTTCCTATCCCCCACTATGTCCTGTTCGGCTCCCTTAAAGCCTTTTTTTAATCCAGAAATACTATCAATGTCTAGGCAGGGTTGTTAGGCCTCCACCTAAGATCTTTTCAACGCGAATATCTATCTTTCAGTATGTTTTAGTTAGGAGTGAATCAGTAAATGCATATTAAATATTCCTTTTCGTCTCGTATAGTTCTTTCAGAAGATCTTACAAAGAAAGTAACAAAGTGATTCTGTTAGTTTATTTTCACTTGCTTTCCAAATTTTTTATGTACGAAACGGTACAAATGAATGCATCTTTTCAGAGTACAACACCTAAGAACACAAGAGCAATAGCCTGTATCAAACTTGCATATTGAAAGGTTATGAGCTATGAATTTATCAAGCTGCATAATTTTGACACCATAAAATGGGTGTGTTCATGATGTCTGAAAAGGTCTTTTTTCCACAGTGAAAAGTGGTATATTATTGATTCGGCATTTATATTAGACAGACATGTAGAAGAATATCATGAATATGCACAAGAAACGGTAATAACATGAAATATATGCAATTTAAGAAGGAAATTTTCTCACAGATTCTGAGCTTTCATAATGATGCTTCCACCAGATCCCCCGCCCCCAAGTGATCCTCCATCTCCACCTTCTGCGGATACAGATCCATTTATATAAAGAACATCCTTTACATCAAGCAAAACACGTCCACCTCCATTTCCCCCATACTTGTGTATATCAGATGTGCCACCACCCTTGCTACCATAAGCCCATGGACTAGACAAAGTTGACCATGAATAGGCATCACCGCCCCAATTATTTGTACGATTAGTTTTCAGACAGGAAGCACCACGGCCACCATGCCCTCCACCAGCTCCATCGTTGCCAACAGGCGTCCCGCTAGTCTGAGAAGGCGGTGTTCCCCCCAAGGCTGTCGCATTTATAGAAGAATTAGGTCCCATAGTCAGACTGAGAGCAGAAAAAATAACAGTGCCAGAAACTATAGTAGCATTTTGACCAACTTTAACAGTGCCAGATAAATTGAAACTTATTGTACAGCCTTCTACCGGACAAATAATTGATATATAAGGAAGTATCTCCAAGTTCCCGGCACCAACTACATAAATGTCAGTATTTATATGCAGGTTTGAACTGAGCAAACAGGTAGTATCAAATGAACCAACGCCCTCCAAGTCCTCACAAGAAGCAAAATCAGCTGTCTGGTTTGAGAATCTTGATTCTTGAAGTCGACTACTGGCACTGGTTTGAGTTCCATCGATTAAAACTGTTCCCGAATGATGATGATTTAATCCTTCCCCTAACTTAGAGGAGCCACTTCTGTTCAAGCCCGTGCTATGAGAGATCACACACGTTAAAAGATATCCCAACAAAATGCACCAGTAAATGTGACGTCGAATTTTCACTAAAAGCATCATCATCTGCCAAAACAATATGCTTCAACATTCAAACATCAACTTGGCAGAACGGCTATAAGTATCAAAGTACCACTGAACTTAGTAGGATCGGTAGAGCCAAATTTGGATCAGGCCACAAAAGGCAATCTTCAAATTATCCCACTATTTTTCTAATGCTCATATATCACAAAAAGAACTATTCATAAACAGTGCCACACCATTATCCAGCACGTGAAAATTTTCCTGTAAGCAGAAATTTATAGAGTATTAATCTGAGCTCAAGAAAATAAAAACTACAAGGCTATACATTTTCCATTAGGTGCTGAAGAATTGACCTAGTTCAACCAAACTTGACTAAAATAAGAAATTTCAACATAACTTAAAAATTTCGTTCTATAACTTTAGAAAATAAAACAAAGACTGAAAATGAGATAAAGTGAGATATCCATCTGTACAGGAAATGCAGATTAAAACAAAATCAATCACTGCTTAATCACATGCGCGTGTACTATTGCAAACCACCTTCTAAATCTCGTGCAAAAAAAGTATAGAAATATATAGAAAGTGAAAGGGCGAGAGAGAGACTGACCAAGAGCAGGAAATTCAGATGAATCTCAGAATAGGGTCAGGATTCAATTGCGAAATTCTACGCTTTCTCTTTTTGGCTAATCTTAATTATAGCGAAAGCAAATCTATTCAGTCAGCGTCTGGTCTCCCTTTCTCACTCAAAGATTGACTGATTCCCTTCTTCTTTTCTTAAGCTCTGCAAATTAAGAACAAAAATTTAAACAATTTAACATTTGAGAATGGAGGATAGTGGTGGGGAACGGTGTGATGATGGCGATGACAATGGGCCCTTAAATTTTATTTTTCATTTTTCTATTTTTGGTTTGAAAATCCTTTTTTGAGCTTTTTGTATCTGCTCTGCAGTTATAATAATGTAGAAATACAGATTTCTTTTCGCAGGGTGGGGGTTTGGGAGTGAACAATGGAAGTGTAAAATGAACGAGCATTTTTTGCTTTTTTTTTTCTTTTTGAGTAAAAAAAATTACTTTTTTTCATAGAAAATAGCTCTTATCTATGGTCAAAATGTTCAATGGTTTCCAAACACGTTTATATAAAAAAATTCACCGGAGAAATTGGTGGAAAATTTTATATAAACACGTTTTGTAACAATTGATTATTTTTATCTTCTGAAAAAAGTAATTTTTACCATTGAGAACCGATAAGACGGGGTTCTAAATGCCATGTGGAGAATTAGAAAAATACACGTGGCTACCTAGATCAATAACTTTCCATTCATTTACGAGTGCTACATGCCCCGACTAAATAATTTG